TAAAAGTAACATTTTACATACATTAATAGTTTGCGATTCTATTTGAATAATTATGTAAACATAGATGAATATTTACTACTTCTAAAATAGATGCAAAGAACATTGAGTTTTTAAGAATATTGTTAATATAATTCTAATATATTTAAAACTTATTACTTAAAATAATTTAATAGATAATAATCTAATATTGAATTATTTGATATAATATTGAATTTATTATTTTAAAATATTATTTCGATATTAATTGTATTTATAAAATTAGAAATACTTGTTATAATATTAATACTGTTTATAAATTTTAAATATTTCTGTTTATAAATTATTAATATTATTGCATTTTTTTATTTTTTATAACAAATATAAAAAATCAATAAAAGAAATCTTTAAAAACAGAAATTTTTCAAATCTATTGAATATTATCACTTTAAATAATATATTTATTTTATTTGATCAAATTATATAAAAAGATTGTATTCTTAAATATAATAAAATGAATGCGCATTTTTTTTTGCACAAGAAAAAAATTAAAATATTGATAAATACAATTTAATTCTAATTTCATGAAAATCTTACAAGTTATGATTAATGAAGATGGCAATAAAAAGTATAAATTAAAATCATCTAAACTTCAAATTGAAAAATCATTGAATCGCAAAGAATTAAAGTATGAATAAACTCAAACAATTGGACTATGAGTTGATCATGCTTGATCTAGCAATGCCTCTTATTTCTATCTGCATAATCGAGTTAATTATTATGATACTTTAAAATGGCACATCGAAACATAATCACGTGATATGAATGTATGTGATCATGCAAACTGGTCTTGTGTTTTACAACATAAAAATTTGTTGGGATTTTTTTTCTTTTTTGCATATCAAAGGATTTAATTATCTTATATTGCGTTCTGTGAGAACCCATTATTCATTTCCTGATACTTGTTAAAAAATACCAGATGCTCAACCCTTTGTGGTCCTTTTTTCTTTTCATTTTTTTCTAAAAAATGATGCTTTTGATTAAAATAAATATTAAATGAAATTAATTAAAGTTACAAAACTAAAATTTTATACGTATATACAAATAATACATTGCTAATCATTATATAACGAGATCATTTTTTATATTACAATTGTTACTGTTATATAGATTAATGTGGGCCACAAAGAGTTCAGCTGGAGCAATGAATGGCTATGCGATATACAATAAGAATTAATATATACAACTGGAACTCACAGAACAATTATTATGTATATTATCATTTATTTTAATGATATCTGATAAAGAAAAATATCTTCGAAAGGTGAACCGTTCACGCTATGTTTGTTTATTTTTAATATTTCCTTCCTTGCGAAGAAATAAATATATAATATTCATGTAATTTTTTTTTAAGTTATTCTTAACTCTTTCATGCATAAGAAGTGATTGCAATATTTCTTTACTCTTATATTTGCTTTATATTTAATTTTGATAAATAGATAATATATTATTTAAAAAACAATTCATATATTATATGTAACTAAAAAATAAATTGAAAAATGATATATTCTTTTAAACTTATGAAATTCATAGAAATAAGGATTAAATATAATATAAGAAATTTAAATATAAGAAAAAGGGATATTAAGTCTTAGAACACCATGTTAGAAAAATACAATAGCAAAATACAATTTTTCACCATCTAAAACATGAAAGAGTTTCTCCTACTGCAAAAATACTAAATTTTTTAATTTCTAATTCTTGTATAATCAAGAATAGAAATTATTATAGCATATTATTATATTATATTAGATTAGATAACATATTTTTAAAATATGCATTGTCACATTTAATACAATACCATTATCATGATATTTTTATGTACATTTAATTCTACATTTTATAACATAGAAAACGAGTGGAATTTTTCATAAAATCTTAATTTCATGAGCCTTGATCACATGAAGATTAGAACATACGCTTAAAAGCGTATAGAGAAGAAAATCTTTTTTGCTTTTGCAAATATGCAGGAACATTTGTGATGATTCAAACAAAGTCATTCCGTGATTGTGTTGCGCTTTCACAATATTCTGTGCGTTTTTTAATATTTCAACTAAATATGAAAAATAAAATAACACTGCAATTAAAAATTAATTTCTCAAAATTATCCAAGTTGTTGACTTTAGAATATCTATAATCTTAGTATTTACAATTAATAAGTAATGGATAAAATTATAGCAATATATTAGAATATTTTTTAATATTTCGTTTTTTAAGTAATGAATATTGCTTAAATATAATGTTCATTGAGTATTAAAAAAAAATATTTCTATCTATCACAAAGAGCTTATTATTATAAAATTGCTATAATTTTGTCCAACGATGTATATTTTTTTTCTGTTTATTAGATATTATATACACAAACTTGGGTACTTTTGATAAATTAGTTTTTAAGATCTCAACTATTAAAAGATAAATATATAATTCTGATATTAATGTTTCCAATTTCACAGATGGGACTAGTATATATATTATGGAACAAAACGGGGAACATAATCATTATTCATTTTACATGTAAAATTTTATGTTCCAACTCATCATACACTTTCGACCCCAGCTGTTGAACACCAAGTTACAGAAATAAATTAATTAGCAAGATCGAAAGTGTTTAATCGAATTTGTTCTTTTTTTAATCGGTTCCACCTTTCGATTAATAATTGGAATAATGCAATAGCATATAAAACAAAAATAACATATTTATCAGGAAGATAGTGTGTACTGATGAATAAAGTAAAGACATGTTTATCACATATATTTTTTTTTGAAAGCGTATATATGTATTATAGTTAAGATACAATCTTGCATCGTCGTGGAGCTAGAAGATCGATGACGAAACTCCAGAATGTAATCTTCTTTCTTCCTCGAGGCTGCCAGCATCAATTTAGTTCATCAGGAGACGTAGGGCCTTTTCTTCAGCTTTTCTGTAAACCGCAACTAAACACGACTCTCCATGAAACATAATTTTCGTTGTGCTTTCGTCACTTCTTTTTGTTAATTTGTTATTATAATTTTTTTTTTTTTTTTTTTGCTATTTTTCGTACAACACATACTCTCTCCTTCTCTCTCTCTCTCTCTCTATTTCAAAACTAACAAATATTCTCTGCTTAAATGTTACATAGATATATATGTATATATGCATATATAATGTATGCGTTTTTGTTTACTTCATTATTTTTTCCAATTATTTTGTAATTACAGTAAAATCCCGTATCTACGGGGATAAGTTCCAAGATTCTGCATAATTGAAATTACCAATAGTGGCGAACACTATTCATTCATTTAAAGCAGTTTACGACCCGAATAACCTCACTAGCATTATTACATTTTTTTCTTTGGAGCCATTGTTAGATAAAGTAAAATTTTTTTACAGTGAAAAATCGATATGCTTTCGAAAAATACAATGCAGATTCGAACGCTGATTCGATATGACTAACGAAGTTTGATGGAAATTTATAAATTTTCCATTAATCTTTTCAGATCGCGAACGGCTGCAAATAAGGAAATTTCACTGTATCGTAATAATATTTAATAATATAGTAGTATACGCTGCGTAAAAAGAGAAAAGAAAGAAAAAAATATTGCGATTTGAAAAAAAAATTATACGTGACAAAAATCTCTATAATCAATCTCCCAAATAACATTACTAGATTAAGAATTCCCCGTGAAAATCCCTTGGTAACTTGGCTAGAATGACTGATAAATCTGCCGGAAGTTTACACAGAGGCTTATAAAATATGTATCCAAATATTAATTGATTCCGACACTTTCCAGACCGAAATTTTCTATTTTTAGATGTTTCACATTATGAATAAATACATCTAAGTACATCTAAAAATAGATTTATGGTTTTATAGAATCATTACAATATATATAATTATCCAATTATCATTAATCAATAAAAATACTAGTAGTCATCAAATACTGTAAGAATGAAAGAATCAAAAACATTAAGTTTAATTCTCTAATACACATTACATATACGTGTATTCAAAACTATCTCCTCTATCTCAAAACCATCATTAATAATATTTGATACACATGTACTCGTATATTTAAATATACGTGAAACAAAAATCTCTAATGCAAACATTAAAATTACATAGATGAAAGTACGAATACTTTTAATATATATGTATATATATTGTATATATGATATTAAATATACATGAAATAGAAACCTTTAGCAAAGGCAAAGGAATTCATCATGTAAAATAAATAATCACAAGACAATTATCTTCTACAAAAAAGTTAAATCTCCTGCATTCTGTAGTCTCTTGCATAAAAAGTATTCTGAATTGCTTATCATAAGATATAAATGGAATCGAGATAGAAAAAAATTTTAATCAATTTTTATAATCATCGTATTTCATTGTCATTCTAAAACCAAATTATATTCTTAAGTGGTCGAGAAAGTGTCTAGATACTATATGAATATTCAGACAAAATATAAAAGATAAACATGTGTTTTCAAGAGATAAACGGGTATATATATATATATATATATATATATATATATATCTCTTT